TTTGTAAATGTAAAGAATTTTGATGTGTTTCTAACTTACTAGCTATAGTCAACTTCATTTTTTTATTCCAAAGAATTTTGATTGGCATGGACAATGTAATTATGTTATTTTATTTTTTGGCTCTCAACAGCGAGGTCGAATTCATCATCATCTCCGGCAGGTCGATGTCGTGCACTCACGTCAGCGGCTTGGCGGCGCTGCTGAAACAAGCCCACCCTGAGTGGTCGCCGGCGGCGATCAAGTCAGCATTGATGACCACGGCGTACAACGTCGACAACAACGGGAATAATTTAACGGACCTCGCCACCGGGGACGTGTCCAATCCGTTCTCGGGCCACGTCGATCCAAACCGAGCAACGAATCCCGGCCTGATCTACGACATCGATACCCAAAACTACGTCGCGTTTTTGTGCAGCATCGGGTACAATGCGCGGCAAATTACGGCATTCACGAAAGATTCGTCGATCGTGGATTGCAACACAGTCGGGCTGAAAACTCCGGGGGATTTGAACTACCCGTCGTTCTCGGTTGCCTTCTCCGGCTTTCAAACCGTTGTGAAGTATAAACGAAGCGTAAGAAATGTCGGGAAGGAGGCGAATGCCGTGTGCGAGGTGACAGTGCACGCACCGGACGGCGTGGAAGTGACCGTGACACCGAGGAAATTAGAGTTCGCGAGAAGGAAGACACTCTATCTGGGTCTACAGAGATACGGATAAATCTAATAAATAAATACAATGGTAATGGTAAGAGTAATTAGGAAAACATTTCTCTTTCGTATTTGCAAAGCTTTATTCTCTTGGTTCTGTTGCCACGCAGGTGACCCACATTGCTCTCCAACCCATTGCCACTTAATTTTTAGTACGATTTTCGATTTATATTAAAAAAATATAATATATATAGTTTTGTACAAAATATATAATATATAATTTATAAACTAAAAAATATAATAATTTAACATAAAATATTACTCCATCCGTCCCACTTAATTTATCTACCTTTTCTATATCCATCCGTCCTATATAAATTCTCTCTTTTATTTTTTGGAAATATAATTATACACTTTAATCATATTTTAAAATTTAAAATTTAAAATTTTTTTATTTTAATTAACTATTCATTCATTTTAATTTATAATTATTTTCACTAATATATTTCTTAATTAGTTACTAATTACATCATACCTAAAACTTCGTGCCGGACAAATTAGTTGGGTATTATTTTTTTTACACTACTTTAAACTAAAAATACAAAATTAATACACCAGTAAAATAAATTTTAAATTATTAATCTATTTAAAATATCATTAGTAATATAATAAAATTAATGATTATAAATAAATATATGTAATTGTAGCATTATATTCAAATAAAATATTATATTTTTATAGAAGCAATAAAATATAATTTAAATATAAAAATATATATACATATAATATTAAAAAAAGAAATTATTTTAATTTTTATTAGATTAGATAGGAGGGTAAAATATTGTTGGTAAGTTTTTAAATTAGGTAAGTAACCGTTAGCATAATGATTTTGATTTTAATTTTAATATACACATAAGATTAAAAAAAAAATTATTTTAATTTTAATATACACATGTGAAATTATATATGGAAGTTTTTATTTTAGGTAAGTAGCCGTTAAGCATAATGATTTTGATTTTGATTTTAATTTTTTAATATACACATAATATTAAAAAAAAGAAATTATTTTAATTTTAATATACACATGTGAAATTATATATGGAAGTTTTTATATTAGGTAAGTAGTCGTTAAGCATAATAATTTTGATTTTGATTTTAATTTTAATATACACATAATATTAGAAAAAAGAGATTATTTTAATTTTAATATACACATGTTGAAATTATATATGGAAGTTTTTATTTTAGGTAAGTAGCCGTTAAGCATAATAATTTTAATTTTGATTTTAATTTTAATCTACACATAATATTAAAAAAAGAAATTATTTTAAATTTAATATACACATGTTGAAATTATATATGGAAGTTTTTATTTTAGGTAAGTAGCCGTTAAGCATAATAATTTTGATTTTGATTTTAATTTTAATCTACACATATTATTAAAAAAAGAAATTATTTTAAATTTAATATACACATGTTGAAATTATATATGGAAGTTTTTATTTTAGGTAAGTAGCCGTTAAGCATAATAATTTTGATTTTGATTTTAATTTTAATCTACACATAATATTAAAAAAAGAAATTATTTTAAATTTAATATACACATGTTGAAATTATATATGGAAGTTTTTATTTTAGGTAAGTAGCCGTTAAAGCATATATTATAAATATTCATGATTTTGATTTTGTATACATTATTATAAGTTTTTGTGGCTGCAATGCAAATGCAATGGGGTACGAGCAGGGCAGGGCAGGGGGGGTTCTTGGTGGGGCAGGGGCATGGTGTGCTTACAGGAGGATCGCCAGAGTTCAAGTGCAGTGCGCAGGCGAGTTCGAGAAGCAGAAGCTGGAAACCAGAAAAGAATAGATTCAAACAAGGAGACAATAAGGGAGGGCGATCCAGAGGTCAAGTGCAGTGCTTGGAGGGGCAGGGGCAGGTGGAATTCCGAAGGTTTTCTGAAGAGGGTTCTGGAGAATTTCGGGGATCCAGCTGTCGACACTTGTGTTTGTGTTCTCGACGAGTAAGTTTTGAGCTTTACTTTTACTGCTCTAGTGGTAATTTCATTCTACAATAATTTTGGTGAAGTCTTCAATATTTACAAGGGTTTAGAGCCTTTTTGGCTGCTATATTCATTGGTAAAATACAAATTAATTGTTGCTTTATTTCGAGGATTTCTTTTTGTCTTGTGTTAATCATTCAAGAAATTATAGTATAGCACTTTTCTTGGAAAATTTTAGAATCCAATCTTGGAACTTTTGGTTATGATGTACCTAATAATGAATGCTTTTGGATTTGACTAGTAGCATGTGATTTGTTAGTTATTATGGATCGATGATGTTGTGTGCTTATTTTGTAGGAGATACAAGAGACCCTTCTACCCTCATATGTACAAGAGACTGTCCAAAAAGCTGCTGAAACACATCAATAAAAATGGTGGGATGATCCTATCGGACAGCAGCACCGGTGGCGATGGCATTTCCTCCTCGACAAGAGATTCTAATTCGGGAGGGAGCGGCCGCATGATCGGACTACCGAACATATATAATAGGGAGTAGTTCTTTATTTTTCTTTAATTTTTATGCATTGCATTTATTTTATCATATTGCATATAGAGTTAGGATTATTTTTACGTCCCGGGACTTGCATGCATGCATTAATTTTGTTTCTTAATTTTATACTAACATATATTTTAGTGTTTTTTGCTTGTAGGTACAGCTTTTGGGGAGAGCGGCAGGATGAGCGGACTACCGAAAACAAAACAGGGAGTTTTTCTTACTTTTCTCTTTTACATTTATGCATTTCGTTTATTTTATCATATTGCATATAGAGTTAGGATTATTTTTACGTCCCGGGACTTGCATGCATGCGTTAATTTTGTTTCTTAATTATATACTAACATATATTTTAGTGTTTTTTGCTTGTAGGTACAACTTTTGGGGAGAGCGGCAGGACGAGCGGACTACCGAAAACAAAACAGGGAGTTTTTCTTACTTTTCTCTTTTACATTTATGCATTTCGTTTATTTTATCATATTGCATATAGAGTTAGGATTATTTTTACATCCCGGGACTTGCATGCATGCATTAATTTTTTTTCTTAATTTTATACTAACATATTTTTTAGTGTTTTTAGGTTGTAGGTACAGCTTTTGGGAAGAGCGGCCGGATGAGCGGACTACCGAAAACAAAACAGGGAGTTTTTCGTACTTTTCTCTTTTAGATTTATGCATTTCATTTATTTTATCATATTGCATATAGAGTTAGGATTATTTTTATGTCCCGGGACTTGCATGCATGCATTAATTTTGTTTCTTAATTTTATACTAACATATTTTTTAGTGTTTTTTGCTTGTAGGTACAGCTTTTGGGGAGAGCGGCAGGATGAGCGGACTACCGAATACAAAACAGGGAGTTTTTCTTACTTTTCTCTTTTATATTTATGAATTTCGTTTATTTTATCATATTGCATATAGAGTTAGGATTATTTTTACGTCCCGGGACTTGCATGCATGCATTAATTTGGTTTCATAATTTTATACTAACATATTTTTTAGTGTTTTTTGCTTGTAGGTACAGCTTTTGGGGAGAGCGGCAGGATGAGCAGACTACCGAAAACAAAACAGGGAGTTTTTCTTACTTTTCTCTTTTACATTTATGCATTTCGTTTATTTTATCATATTGCATATAGAGTTAGGATTATTTTTACGTCCCGGGACTTGCATGCATGCATTAATTTTGTTTCTTAATTTTATACTAACATATTTTTTAGTGTTTTTTGCTTGTAGGTACAACTTTTGGGGAGAGCGGCAGGATGAGCGGACTACCGAAAACAAAACAGGGAGGTTTTCTTACTTTTCTCTTTTACATTTATGCATTTCGTTTATTTTATCATATTGCATATAGAGTTAGGATTATTTTTACGTTCCGGGACTTGCATGCATGCATTAATTTTGTTTCTTAATTTTATACTAACATATTTTTTAGTGTTTTTTGCTTGTAGGTACAGCTTTTGGGGAGAGCGGCAGGATGAGCGGACTACCGAAAACAAAACAGGGAGTTTTTCTTACTTTTCTCTTTTACATTTATGCATTTCGTTTATTTTATCATATTGCATATAGAGTTAGGATTATTTTTACGTCCCGGGACTTGCATGCATGCATTAATTTTTTTTCTTAATTTTATACTAACATATTTTTTAGTGTTTTTAGGTTGTAGGTACAGCTTTTGGGGAGAGCGGCCGGATGAGCGGACTACCGAAAACAAAACAGGGAGTTTTTCGTACTTTTCTCTTTTACATTTATGCATTTCATTTATTTTATCATATTGCATATAGAGTTAGGATTATTTTTACGTCCCGGGACTTGCATGCATGCATTAATTTTGTTTCTTAATTTTATACTAACATATTTTTTAGTGTTTTTTGCTTGTAGGTACAGCTTTTGGGGAGAGCGGCAGGATGAGCGGACTACCGAAAACAAAACAGGGAGTTTTTCTTACTTTTCTCTTTTACATTTATGCATTTCGTTTATTTTATCATATTGCATATAGAGTTAGGATTATTTTTACGTCCCGGGACTTGCATGCATGCATTAATTTTGTTTCTTAATTTTATACTAACATATTTTTTAGTATTTTTAGTTTGTAGGTACAGCTTTTGGGGAGAGCGGCCGAATGAGCGGACTACCGAAAACAAAACAGGGAGTTTTTCGTACTTTTCTTTATATTTATGCATTGCATTTATTTTATCATATTGCATATAGGGTTAGAATTATTTTTATATCTCGGGACATGCATGCGTTAGAATTACTTTTCTTTTATATTATTTTGTTTTTCCTATACATATGTACTAATATCTATTTTAAATCTTTTTAGATGCATACGAGAGGGAGTGGCCGGATGATCGGACGACCGAATACATCATAGGGAGTAATTCGTCTTTTCCTCTTACATTTATGCATTTAATTTAATTTAGCATTATGCATATAGAAATAGATTTATTTTTACGTCCGTCCCGGGACATGCATGCATTAATTTTGTTTCTATATTTTATATTAACTTATTTTTAAGTGTTTTTACTTTGTAGGTAAAGCTTATGTGGAGACGAGGGGATCCGCAAATATCCTTCGATCTCGATTTCAAATCCAAGGTAAGTGATTTTAATATTATTTTGTTGTTTCCTATACATATGTACTAATATCTATTTTAAATCTTTTTAGATGCATACGAGAGGGAGTGGCCGGATGATCGGACGACCGAATACATCATAGGGAGTAATTCGTCCCTTTCCTCTTACATTTATGCATTTAATTTAATTTAGCATTATGCATATAGAAATAGATTTATTTTTACGTCCGTCCCGGGACATACATGCATTAATTTTGTTTCTATATTTTATATTAACTTATTTTTAAGTGTTTTTACTTTGTAGGTAAAGCTCATGTGGAGACGAGGGGATCCGCAAAGGTCCTTCGATCTCGATTTCAAATCCAAGGTAAGTTATTTTAATATTATTTTGTTGTTTTCCTATACATATATACTAATATCTATTTTAAATCTTTTTAGATGCATACGAGAGGGAGTGGCCGGATGATCGGACTACCGAATACATCATAGAGAGTAATTCGTCCCTTTCCTTTTACATTTATGCATTGTAGTTATTTTAGCTTCTTACATATAGTAATAGTGTTATGTTTAGGTTCCGGGATTTGGATGCATTAAGTTTGTTTCTAAATTTTATCCTAACTTATTTTTTAGTGTATTTAGTCCGTAGGTAAAGTTTATGTAGAGCCCACTACTATCCAATCCATATACGATATGAAAAAAATAAAGATTTGGGTCTAAAAATTAGATCCAAACTATTTATAGGTCGGGCCAGCCCAGCATGGTTGAATAACCAAACCGATTCGAGGCCTCTGCAAATTGTTACGTGCTAGGCGCAGTCCAATTTATTAAAATAATTTAAGTAAAAATATTTTTTTAATATAATATTAGCTTTAAAATAAAATTAATAATTAATTATTTAATTTCTTAATTATCAATAAAAGTATTTTGTTCTAATTATATCAATTTAGATTAATATAATTTATTGTTTAATAAAAAAGGCAAATTATTTATGAAATCTAATATTAAAAATTTGGGCTGGGCTGGCCCGGTATAATTTGAAACCGGGCCATGCCTTGGTTTGGGTTTTCAAGCCCAATGCAAAATCAGGCAGGGCCTATTGGGCTTGAATTTTAAAACGGCCCGCGCCAACCCAAAAAAATATTACTCCCTCCCTCGCAAAAAATGCACAAATTTTTTGCATGGCGGGGGAGTAATACCAGCTTTAAATTGCCATATATTTTTTTTCCAAATATGATATAACTTCTCAAATAATGGAAGCAAGATACCTTGAAATATGAATCCACCAATATGCTGAAGCCTTTTTCTTTAAATCCACCGATATGCTGAAGCTTTTTCTAGGAATACATTTGTATCGAACTGCAATTGTGCCAGAGAAGTCATTTCCCAATACTTTTGTATATACCTCTTGAAAGTAAGAGATTTAAGTAAAAAAAAACACAAATCAGGCTTACACTGGTCTTTTATATAACTGTTATTATGAAATTGCCCAAAGCATTATTATTACGAAATACAGTTCATCAAATTTTCTAAACTAAAACTACTTTAGTACCAGCTCGCAAACAATATGTTCATAACTCAAGGGAAGACAAAATTGCCCGTGAGAAAATTATTAAGCACAAAATGACAACTATTTTAAACGTTTTAAATAAAATTTGACCCATTTGCCTTATGGAAATATGTTCAACAATTAGTGGAAAAAAATTAATGTTCACACATACATACACATGAATACTAGAAATCATATTACTCTTTTTGTACATTTTTTTTATTTTAAAACTCAAAAGGTAACAAAAAGTACATATTCATTTAAGTAACAGGATGCAATACTTCAAACACACATTCGACTATGCATACCAGCAACGCCCCTAGGTCTATTTGCAATAGTTTTATTTGTAAGAGGAAATAAAATATATTAATTGAGAAGATAAATATTGCATTCAAATAATATAATTTAAATAAAAGAAAATTTCTAATCCTCCTCTCTTTAATTTTTATTTGCAATAGTTTTATAATTGTTTTTTAATTATAAAATAGAAAAAAAAAATGAAGCTATAAAAATTTTTTTAAAAAAAAATCAGAATATTTCACATTAAAAATAATATATAATAAATACTAACCTTCTACTAAAATATTATGGTCATATTTGGGTTGCGAACGAAAATTTTAAAAATATTGATATTATATTGATAGTTGATAAAAACTATGAGTATAAAAAATAGTAGAATTTGTGTAACAATAATGAAAAAATAAAATTAAATCTGCAGGATACGTTACATCACTAGTGATTTCATTAGTATTATAAATATAAAAATATTAATATTTTTAAATTATAAAAATTTTAAAAAGTTATTTATAAAAATAAATAAAAACAAAACGGTCATATTTTAAAAGATATATTTTTTTTTATAGTAATCATTTCATTAGTATTTTAGTAATATATATATATATATAATATGAATAATTTTTAATTTTAAAGATTTTAAAAAAAATAATTGTAAAAATAAATAGAGACCATAGCGGTCATAATATAATAATAAGATTTTAAAAAGATCTTATGACTAATGGTTTTCTTAATTACTAATCACCAACAGACTTAGATTGGGCAAGAACAAAGAATGAAGGAAAGGTAGACGAGCTAGGGATGGAGATGGAGATGGAAATGAAAAGTATTCTGAATAAAATGAGACAGTCGAGAGAGTTAGTTACTTACTTGAGCATAGAGAGCAGAGAGCATTGCAGCACATATTTCCCATACAGAATGAGTGATGCATATACGTACCCCCATCCCTCCTCAGCAATGCCCACTCACTCTGCTGCAAGAAAGAAAAGGGAACACATATAATATAACATCCAATACTTTTGTTTTTCTTACAGCAAAAAAAAACTTAAGTCGACACAACGAGACCATAAAAAATCTATTTAAATAAATGATGGAATGAATGAATGAATTAAAATCTGCATTGTGACTGACATTCATGCAATGTGACTGATGCTCTCTTAATTACCGAATCATGTGACCTTTTTAGCTTTCTGACTTCCTCCAAGAAGGATCTCTGTTGATTGAGAAAATCTAGATAAAATAGATACCAAAATTGACATGTTATAAAGTTTTCACTAGCATATAGAATAAGACTAACTGTTCAGAAACTGGTATGCCAAAATGCATTCTAGCCAAGTTGATAGAGCTATGAATCTCCATACATCTAGCACTAATGTCAGGTTTGATGGACAAGTGCTAAGGAGGATGCTCATGGAACAAAAAGTAAAAACCATATGTACGTAGATATGAAATCCATCAGTAGTACAAATAATCACTGTGATTTAACTAAAACAAAAATTTGTTGAGTTACCTGATCCATTGAGAATCTTGATAATGTTACGAGTAGCACCCCTAACCACAAGGCGAAAGTCTCTCTTCAAACCAACATACTTGGCATATTTCTACACAACAAAAAAATAAATAACTAATAATAAATGAGAGACCAAATTTCAGAATCTATATCAACATGATGAGACTATAGATATAATTATAATTGGTATAAAAAAACTTCAAATTGCACTTTAAAACAATTTTTCAAATAACAATACATTATATATATATATATCAACATTGAACTTCTCGAACCAAAGCTCCTCCATATTGGTTTAGGCATCAAGCCAGTGATACAAAGCAAATATAATAAGAAAATTCTAGGAAGATGAATGTGCAACAAGTTGCTTTTTACCTCATTGACAGGTGCCTCATTGTCTCTTATAACTGCATCATGCCCGTCGATTTCCTTTCCAAATTCTGTCTTCAGAAGATCCCCGAATTTCCAACAACAACACAAGTTTGAAACATGCGAGGATGAAAGGGTGGCTTTGCAGGTAGGAGCACATTAAGATGTTCCTCACAAACAGTCCTGTTGTAGCATTTATCTCCTCCTCTACAATGATAAGAGAATAAGAGGAAATAGACATTGATAAAAATTTCAGACTGCAGTTAATTTTTGAAATTGAACACCCAAAGACAGCATACAGCATACAGCATGCACTCTCCCCTTTGTCACTATTCTCACCTAATTCAAACACCAAATTGCAACAACCAACCAAAACGAAACCAAGATCTTAAATGAGCACGGTTTTGTTCTACAGCGGGTGCTATCTTCTGCTCATTTTCTTCCAAAATGCCGGGGATCATTTACTTGTGCTTTTATGAATCTTTTTGCAAATACAATTTTCTATACCTCGGCTCTATGCAAAAAATCAAATCAAATCAAACCACTATTTTTCTATTCAAAAAATTCAAATCCAAAACATCGAAAACATCCCGAACCCCACAAGTAAACACTAGCAAGATCTCAAAAGCCAAAGCCAGTATAGTAAATCAACTTTGAAGACCCCATCCATGAGAAACAACTAAAACTGCAAAAGCATTATTCTATATCATCATCCAATCACTCACTGATCTTTAATCTACTCATTGAAATATATCAGGATCAGATCAGATCAGATCATCACCATAATCATCGCTACACTGCTACAATACTCACAAGATGATCAACATAAAGATGTATTATTAACTGGAACAAGGAGAGCTTCGAATTCATACCTGATCAGAATCGCTGATTCATTCACTCACACAGTAGGCTTCCGCTCGAGTTCATTCCCAGGATCATCCGTGCTCGGAAATGCCTGAATTCCAGTCACCATAGCATCAGGCGGACCTCACCTCTCCTACACCGCTGCTCCATCTCCTCAACCTTCTCCCGAAAACAACGCCTCCACAGATCCATCCCCTTCGCATTATCAATCGTCCAATTCCGATAGAACACACCTTGCACTCTCCCCCTTATCACCATTCTCACCTGATTCAAACACCAAATTAGAACGAAACAGAAATTTATTAATGAAATTGAGAAATCGCTTACAGTTTTGACAGAGGCCTCCTCCTGCGGCGAGTTCAGCGAGGACATAGTAGAGAATAGAGTGCGTAGACGGCGTCGGAGCAGAGGAGGAGGAGGAAGACGAAGACGACGGTGCAGCGGAGGAGGAGGAGGATGAGGAAGAAAGAGAAGTATGATGAGGCCGTAGCGTAGAAGAAGAGGAGGTCGCGCGAATGTCGGCGGCAGAGCGCATTGGCATTGCTACGCCATTGGAGATGCTTCAGAGAAATCGTGGGTTGGATAGCGATTTTGTAAGGGTTTTGCTTCAGAGAAATCGTGGTTTGGACAGCGATTTTTGTAAAGGTTTTGGATTATATTTGATGGATAAAAATATAAATAAAAAATTATTTAGATGGTAAAATATGTAAAGATATGTAATAATTATAAATATGGAGGATGTGGAATATAAATAAAAAGCTAAATAAAAAAATGTATATGAATAGAAACCGATAAAAAAAATGATTCAGAAATTAAGACTTTAGGAGAATTAACCAAAATATATATATTGTTAGAAAATTTTAATTAAATTTTGATTTCGTGGTCCACAATTGACACTATTGTCGTTTATTCGTGCAAGTTCACTTGCGCGAATCTACACCGTCCATGGCACGCCGGGTTTCCCATATACGGACGGTGTGGATATGATGGAGCTGGGGTCCCGGATCTCCTAGTATAAGTCGAAGTTTGTACAAGTATGAGGATAGTGTTTGGAGGTTTTAATAATGTAATAACGACGATCAATTATGATAATTAATTGAGCAAATAAACAGAAGACAGCTTCATTACCAACATCTTAATTAATTTATTTTTATTGTATTTCGTGGAGTCATAAAAATAAAATAAATAAAAAATTGTTTAATTTTGGTATAGAATTTAATGTGGTGTCTAATATAAGAAAATTGGTATGATTTTTGCATAACAAAAAGGAAATAATTTTATTTTTTATGAAAAAAATGAATCCTCTTTTTTTCTTAGGCCAGATATAAATTATAATAATTTATATTATTATTATAATAATTCTTTGGATAAACTTAAGGCGAATTTTTTTCTTTGATATTGTAAACTTTGATTTTTATTTATTTTTCAAGAAAGAAAAATATGGTTAGATTAAATATTATAGTATATATTATTGATATATCTTTTATTGGTATAGTAAAAAAATTAAATAATAAAATATTATATCAAATAATTATTAGAATTTAAATATTAACAACAATAAATATAACAACCATAATAATAATAATAATTTAATCTGTAGTGATTATGAGGTTCAGAATTTAGAGCTCAAGTTGTCGAATGATGATTATATATTAATAATAATGTAATAATAATAACAACACTGACTAATTAGAGATAGATCATATCATAGTAATTTGCGAGTGATGGAACGACTTTAAATAATGTATGTGTTCACTTGGGGTTTGTCCTATTCTACGCTTACAACTTTTTATATGTATATATACACTTCGTAGTCCTAGACGAATGTATTCTTTTGAGATTTTGTAATAAATTAAAAAATAATAATATGTTAGTAGTTAGTAGAAGTCTGTAAAAAATTTTGATAATTTTGACATTTAATTTTATTTATAAAGTAGTTGTATATATAATTACAGAGTTATAGTTTAAATAAAAATGAAGGATATTTGGGTATTATTGTATTATTACTTTTACTAAAATATGAAATATATATTTTTTGAGTCAGACAAATGAAAATGATAAAAATAGTATTTTGATTTGAGTATTTTTTATTAAATACTACTTTCCTTTCGATCTATTTTGAGTTTTGTAATAAATTAAAAAATAATACTCTATCCGTCTCAAACACCGTGTAACATTTGAGTTCGGCACGAGAATTTAAATGAGTAATATTAAGTAGTGTAATTTGAGATCATTTGAAAATTAAGTGATGTGATTGAGGAGATAAATGCATATTTATTTGTTTTTTTAGTGATGTGATTGAATAAAGCGAAATATATATTTATATATATAAATAAATATAACTAATTATTTCTAAATTCGAAAATATTACAATAAATTTGGGATAAACAAAACAGAATAAATATTTATAACGTGAATGACATTGATTTAAATAAATATAATATTTATAATCTATGGTGCAATCAAGTTTACTTAAATAAAAAAAAAAAAACAAAAAACAAATTCTATATTTATTTATACAGATAAAAATGACAAAAATATACTTTTATCGCCCCCTAAAATTAAAATACTATTTTTTTATGCTAAATTTATATTATTATCTTAACAAATAATAATCAATTTGATACTAATTTTTTATTTATTCTACTATTTTTATCAATTTTTTTAATAAATTTCATCATTTTATATTTTATCTACTTTATTTAAATATTAAAACTATTACTCTATTTGTCTCAATTGAAAGTACTATTTTTATCATTTTTATCATTCTTACTAAAAATTATTCATTTTTTATTATAGTAAAAATAATAACACATTAATATCAAAATACTCTTAATTTTCATATAAATTACAAACATATTACACATATACATAAAATACAAAGTACAAAAATGTTAAACTATCTCACTCCCTCTGTCCCAAACATGGTGCAACACAAGATTTCAGCACAAGAATTTAAATAGGTAGTATCAAGTAAGATAATTTGATAATCAAGTAATATGATGATAGATATAAGTGTATATTTATTTAGGCGAAGTGATGTGATAAGATAAAATATAATATAGTATAGATAATTATTTCATATTTCGAAAATATTGCAAAGTATTTAGGACAAATCAAAAATAAATATTGCACAATATTTAATTAAGACAAAAAAATTAAAATATTACTATATTTACTCTATTATAAAAATAAAAATATATACTTTCATTCGAAGTATAAAGAATATTACTCCCTCCGTCCTATTGAAAAGTTGTCATTTTCCATTTTCGTTCGTCCCAAAATACGGTTACCATTTTCTAATTTAGTAATTGTACTACCTATCTAACATAATAAATATCCTTCCAACTTACACTATATTACACAAATGTCATTACTTTTATATTATACAATACTACTAGGGGCATTTTCGTCCTTTTCAGTACAACCTATTATAATACTAATATTAAAAAATCTACATGTAAAAAGTAAACGACTAATTTGCATCGGGACGGAGGGGGTATTTAGTCTATGTCGAAATAAACTTACATAATTTACCGAATGTGGTAAATATTTTTAGAAGGAAAGAATAATAAGTGCATAAAACAAAAGTGTTCACTTTTGTATCTTTTGCCCTACATGGAATCGTCGGCCTTTTTTTACCCAATCTCTTCACGTCCTTCACATAAAGTAATATTACTTCTATTCGATTTTAAAGACCATATTTATTATTTACATGTTGAGGCTTTGAATATTAATTATTATATCATAACATAGTACATATCACATAAAAATGGCAAAAATATTTTTATTAATGACTTATAATACTAATATAATGATTTTTGTACAAAAATTTATAAAAAATTCTTACATCACATCATCTACACCAACACTTCACTCAATAATCATCTCTAGAGAGAAGAGTGGGAGCTAAGCATTTTATTTAATTTACTTTCAATATTTTCTTATTTATAAATAGATATTTTTAAACTATACCCTTTTTTTTTTTTTTTTGTCTTACATATTGTATCATATTTATTACCTACATACAATTTTAGTAGTAGCATACTTAGTAAATAATTAAAATTATATTAATAAAAATAATTAAAATATAATAAAAGTAAATTAAAATTAAAATAATTTATTAGTGTATTTAAAATTTTAAAAATTATAGAATAAAAAAATTAAAATTTAATTGGAATATATAATAAATTTTCAACAACATGCACATAAAATATAAGATTGAGAGAGTGATTTATATAAAAAATCATGATATCTAATGTTCGATTGCAATTTAAAATTAATTTGAAATGAAATGTTTATTTAAATTTTTATTGATATAATATTTTGTAAAAAAAAATATTTTTTATTGAAAATCATGCAAGTCGAATAATATAAATTTGTGTTTGAAATCATCAATAAACCAAAAAAACCCAAAGTAAACAAACTGAAGGGTATGTTGTTTGGTTTGGATTTAAATTTGAGTTTAAATTTTGTAATTATAGTTTGTACCTGTTTGGTATTTTATGGAAGAAAATTATATACTTTTATTAATAAATGATATTTTAATAAATAGGCCAAATTAAATCCTCAACAATAAATATAATAAATAATAATAATAATAATAAAATTATTGTACTGTATAAGTACATATAGTGCAGTTTCAAAAGGGGGAACCAAAATGTGTTTCCCCACTTTGCCCCAAAATATGAACTTTTATATATTCCCGTGTCCATGTAATAATTATGTTTATTTATAATATATATATTTTTTATATAATACAATAAGTCATAGGTGAATCATGTGTAATAAATAATATTTAAAATTATCAAAAATTTTAACTCATAACTTCAAAATCCCAAGTCTATTCCCGCTGCACCAGATAATTTCTTACAAGACTAAAACACTTGTTTGTTTGTGGGGTTTGAGGTTTGACTTTTATAGTTTTAAAGAGTAAAATTTTGAATTGAAAGTGTTATGAGATATTTTGATATAAAATTAAATTATATTATTATTTATTATATAAAAATTATGTGTTTGATTTAATATATTAAAAAAAATTTCAAAAAAAAAATAAAACACTCGAAAATGCTATAACCGAATATACATGTTTGTTTAAATTTTAAAATTTTAGATATTTATATTGTAAGACAAACAATTGTGAAAGTACTGTACAAAATATATAGCTAAGTTAAAAAAATAGAGTGTGTTTGTTTAGGAGTTTGAATTTTGAGTTGAAATTTGAATATTAAAAATTTTAAATTTGAATAATTGTATGATGTAATTTAAATATGTGTTGATATGATATTTTTAGTGTAAAATTAATTTTTAATATAATATAAAAAATAGGTATTTGATTTGATATTTTTGGAAAAAAAAAAATTAGTGAATAATTAAAAATTTTGGAAATCTTCTAAACAAACACAACCTTAGTGAACACTAATTAGGGTTTGTTTGTTTGGGGGTTTGGATTTTGAGTTGAGATTCGAATAATAAAAATTTTAAATTTGAATAGTTGTATGATGTGATATAAATAGGTATTGATATGATGTTATGAATGTAAAATTGATTTTTAGTAAAATATAAAAAATAAAAAATAAGTATTTGATTTGATATTTTTGGGAGAAAAAAATGAA